GGAATTTAGACCAATACCCATGTCCTAACCAGGACACCATAACCCAGCAGTGCCGGTTCTGAAGCACACAATGCATCGGAGCTTGCCAGCTGCAGCAACTGCTTCCACACAGAACTACTGCAGCATAGGCAGGACATAGGAAGCCTGTCAAAGATCCTGAGGGTGAACGTTGTGCATCTCAGTTTGCACACTTGCTGCAGCATAGATGCGCACAGCTGTGTTGATTGTTGATTGTGGTCATGGTCATGGTCATGTTCACCTTCGGGAAGTTGCTTCGAATTCGCATGCACTGCTTGGTTGGCAATTTTCTTCGGCGATGTCAAGCCTTCTTCAGGGAGGAAAGTGCCACATAGCCAAGAAGCAGTGGGACGACTAAGCACGACCATCTTCAGGTACATCATGCAAGCGGACTGAGGTACATTTCAGGTACCCAATCGAAGGAAGACGAACGGAAGAGTCCTGCGGTCCGTCACAAGACATCTTTTGTTGTGTGTTAAATCCCAACGGTCCAGCCATCTTCGGCTGCGAGCATCAGGTAGTCACTTCTTGTAAAATCCCATTCGGTGCCAGGTTCTACACTAGGCCTCAGTGAGGACGGCAAGTGGCAAGTGGCAAGTATCAAAGCAAGGTTTTTGTTCCGTGTCCATTTCCGGGTTAGTCTTGGCATCAGAGCTCCAAATGCAAAGTTTGCATATGTCGCCACAGGGGCCTGTGGCCTGGTCCGGATGTGTTTAAGCTGTTCGAGCGGAAGGCGGGCCGGCTCTTCTGAACAAAGATGACCGACAAAACTGACATGACAGACGACAGCCAGGTTCACCCAATGGGTCACCTGCTTGTCAATTGGCTCCAGCACATATCTTCACAAAGCTCGAAACTGAAGATCTCGCAGGGGCGCAGTATGCCAGGAGAGGTCCCGGTCCTGTACCCACTCTCTGCGAAACAAATTTCAAATATTTGTATAACTTGCTCCCTGAGGCCTTGCGGATCCCTTCACCGGTACAAAGGCCGCAGCAGGGTCTGGTATTCCAACATGGATGCCCCAAAACTGTCTGCTCACGTGGTCAAGCGCCAGCCAACACAGAACACAACCCAGTCCGCGCAGAGTCTCTGCCATCAAAGCCACTACGCATTCCTGTATCGATAGAATACCTTGCACTTACACCTCATAGTGGTGGCTTTGAGAAGAGTCTCCACAGACCATGGTTTGATAGCGAAAGGCAGCAGCTTGCCAGTTCCTAACCCCCTGCCACTTCGGCATAACCTCGTCGAAGAAGCGAAACCCTGATCCCTGTCTCCTGCACTGCAAAGACTGCGAAAGCTGCGAATGAATTGGACGCGCGAAACGGCCCTGGTGACAGCAAGAGCTGGCCTGCGAACACCGTCGCCCTGCCAATATGGCGCCTCAGCACAGAAATCCTAATTAACCGGTCCTACCTGCTCTAACATGCCACGCCCCCGCCAAGGATTCTGCTTTGTTTTTTCTGCATCCTTGTTTCGATGCTCCAAGATGCAGGGATACAGGCGGGATACAGGCTGGCCACATGGCCTGAGTCAAAGACTCAGAAACTGTGCCTGGAATGTGAAGTAAAACCGTCTGGGACCTCCTTCCTCCTTGAACAAAAAACCAACAGCCCGACTCTTATCCGCTTCAACACCTTCAAGAAGGTCTGAAAGCTGACCGGCGGACCGGGTAAAGGTGAAACACTCAGTCCCGCAGGCTCAGAGGCACCTGCACCAGGCCACTGGTCCAAGGCTGTGCGCACTGAGAAAATCTGAGGCCTGGCCAGGAACCACGGAAATCAACTCGGACTCTTCGCGTCCCTCAGCTGCCAGCTGCCAGATGCTGCGAGAAGAGACCTTCTACGCTTGGAGGGGGTCCTCTCAGCTCTCTCAGCGCCTGGCGTAGCTTGTCGGCTCCAGGTCCTGACCGTTCGCCGCTCTTCTTCTTCTATGTCTCTCTCTGCTGCAGCGACATTGCCACCGAAGTCTTGCGTTCCCCCTTTTTGCACGTTGCTTTGTACTGCTAGGGTTTTGCGGGGTTCGTGACCTTGGGCATCTTAAAAGAGCCGAGAATTGCCCCTGCAGAGGTCGTTCCCTCTGTGGTATGAGCTGTGCCTGAACCTTGTCCAGACAAGACAATGAGCAAAGCGACTTCTTTCGAGCTCAAGGTCCCTTGTCACACCTTGGGGGCATGAGCATCAAATTCTAGCTGATCCAACACACCCCGCCGCGGAAGATCAGGTAGGCCAAGGCCATCCCCTTGGCATTTTTCTGCGTTTCTGAGTCTCTTCCAGCGGCCAGGTGATGCCAGGTGCCCAGATGATCTCTGCACATGCTTCTCTCACGGGCAGAGAGGTTTACAGATCTGGAAACCGTGGCGCATTGCCCCCTGATGCCACAGGGCCGTTTAGGCAGCAAGCAACTGGCTGGTCTGGCTGTCTACCCTAAGATTTCACGCAAGGTTGCAGATTTGTGCCCTGTCATGAGGCAATTCAAATCCGGGGCCGCGAGATTTCAGCAGGATGCCTTTGGCATCCGTTGCTCACTTCAAGTTCTTGATGCTTTCAGCCAAGTCGTTCAGGCTCTCCGAGGACTCACTGAGGTCTGCAGACTGAGCAGCCTTGGGGCTCCAGAGACATAGACTGCATCTCTACCCGAATCGGAATTGGATACTGCGGAAAAGCGACGTCCGCGAGGGCTTCAGCTGCAGTCTGACCCTCCTGGAGGGCTACGCCGGTGTCCAATGAAGCCAGGGCCTGGGTGATGGATGGTGATGGGGAGGACGGAGGAGATGAGCACGGAGCCGTAGAAAGGATTTCTTCCTTTCGAAGGCCTGGCCTCGCCGATGCCTGCCGTCACCGAGGCCTCGCCGGTGAAGAGCCCGAAGATGTCCAGCGCCGTGGAGGCCGTGGCCACCTGGGAGTTCTCAGAGCTGGCGCTGATTCTGCGTGCTCTGCGTGCTCTGCGTGCTCTGACTCTGGGCCCACAACAAAAGCAATCAACTTCTGGGTGTTCTCGTTCTTCCAGGCTGCCTGAAGCAAGGACACTCAAGTTGCTGACAAACGCACAGAAAATCAGGTGTTGATCTGTGCCTTGATCTTGTCGCCAAGGGTTTCTTCCTGGTACCTAGCGTGCTTTCAGGACTTCCTAAGCGGCTGCCTATAGAGCAACAGTTGTGGCCAAGTGGCGCCGCAGGCTCTTGGTTGCTTTTGAAGAACTGCCGAGCTACAGGGCTTGCTCGACTTGCAGTTTCCACCCTGAGATGTGTTCTTTGAAGGTATTCGAGACTTTCGGCAACCAGCTTGGGCACCTGGGCCGTGGGGCCACAAAAGTGATGGCGGCTCCCAGGACCAGCACGATGATCAGGCAAGGTAGGAGCCTGACAGCCGAAGAAAAGGCAGGGGAGAGTAGGGAGAGGCACAAAATGAGAGCGAGAAAGAGAGGCAGCTCGGCCTGCCGGGCGTGCGATTAAATCTAGCCATGCCTCAGCTTGGCAGATCATCCATTCATGTATACCTTTTCTTCAACACTCACAATGGTTCGCACCAATTGTGGGACTCTGCAATTCCCAGAACACAGCGGTCATCCTCAAATTTGTTGCTGACAAGCTTCGGAATACTGGATGACAACCCGGCAGGGTGGGGCTCGGGGTGTGCTTTGAGCTCTCTGAGCTTGACTACGAGCCGAAAAGCTAATCCAACAAGCGTGACTATCTCAAGCTGCAATGGGCCCTGCAGAACTTCACACGCAAGAGGTGCCGCCTCCGCCGTAGCTGGAGCTCGGAGCCGCCGTCGTGGAGGCAGCACCTGCAAGAGCTGAAAAAAGAAAGGAAAACCGACGCTGAGTGAGGCCGAGTGAGGCCGGGCCAGCTCCGGACAGCGCATGGGGCAGTGCCGGCTGCGTTGCAGCCAGGCGGTGATGCACTCGCAGTGGAAGACATGGGAACCTGATACGACGCAACTACGCTGCAAAATCGTGGCTGCTCGCCGCTGGGAACCAGGCACGGCAGCTGCACAGCCGCCTCTTCCTCTAAGTTGCTTTGACACAATCAGCAGCTCAGCAGTTGCAAAGTTGCAAAGCAAATGCAAATGCCCAAGCTGTCAGATTCGCCGCCTGTTCGAAGTCACACAGGCAAATGGCACACGTCTGCGGCACACCCTGGCACCATTCTGATGAACATTCATACAAGCATCTGCTGAGAAGCCTATTCTTAATCAATTTCCTCAGCCCAGCAAAGCCTTAGCCTCACTGTCTCAGAATTTTCCGCTGGGGGGTTACACCCCCCCTTCCGTGCAAACACCTGGAAAACTTGCGCTGGAAAGTCCTCAGATCGAGTCGGAAAATGAAGGGTCCAATGGGAAACTAGAATCCTGGGTTGGACTGGAAATTGTGGGCAATCGGAAGATGAGCCCCACGCGCAATGATCCCTAAAGAAACCTGAAATCTCACTTTTCGAACACAGAAAGAACTACACTTCAACGACCCAAATACAAAACTTCAAACACCCCCCCCTGATCCAAGGATTAGGAGGGACCCCTAGTAGCGACCCTTAATCCCATTACCATATATAACCCTTATTATAGTCATTATATAACACCTATATCCCAAGGTAGTCCCCATATTGCCCCAATAAGCTACAAGGGTCCCTATTAGGGGTCCCTCCAACAGTCCTGCGACCTGAGTACTTAAAAACCTATTACATACGCTGCGCAAGGTCCACGACCTCCGTAATTTTTAAGCCGTTGCTTACGTACTCTAGAAACAGCTGCACACACGAGATCCCTTGCCCCATCCACGGGCGCATGCGGGCGCACTCATCCTGACAGGCTGAGGCATGATGAGGGCATCCTCAGATGATGTGCGTGATGATCCGTGCCGGGACGCGTGATGGATGGGCACAACACTTCCTTTCTGAAATGGTGGCGCAAAACACCCAATGGGCTGAGCATTGGATATCACCAGGCCAAACTCGATACAAGAGATCAGGGACAAAAGGCTCGAATCTCACCAGCCTAGCGCTACCATGGATCCAGGTACGTGAGACCATCAGAAAATCAAGCTGGCAAGGTGCCCTCGGGTTCACAAGTAACCCACAGCGCAGGATCTCAGCAATTTCGGACAGGGCAAGTGACGAGCCGTAGGCAGCCACGTGGCACAGGAAGCCGACAACAAAAAAACAAATGGGACCCTCAACAGCTAGGCGGGCCGCTCCAATTCGCCTGCGCTGAAGCCTGGAACCTCCACTCGTAAAGTTCTGCACAATCATCATTGAGGCACTACACCCCAGAAATGTCAAATCAAGTGCTGCTAAACCCTAAACACTTTACAACAACCTCCAATACTCCTAGGTATGTAGGACCTTTTGGGTNNNNTTTTTTTCTTTTCTTTTCTTTTCTTCCGCGTTTCCTGGCAATTACGTATTTTTTCCAGCTATTTCATTGTTTCTGAGTTGTTTTGTCTTTTTTATTGTTTTTTTGGCTGTTTAAAAAGCTCTGAAGAGAACAAAAAAACACAAAGCTAAAAGTTTAAAAAACGCTAAAACATAAAGCGTTTCCTGGCCATTTTTCTCTTTTTTTCCAGCTATTTGATTTTCCTAGTTTTTTTTTAGTTTTTTGCCTTTAAAAAGCAAAAAAGCAAAAATTAAAGACAAAATAAAAAGTTAAAAAAGAAAAACCATTGAATACACCACATAAATCAAATAGCTGGCCAAAAACAATGACTTAATGTGGTTAACCGTTTTTTCTTTTTTTATGTTTTCCTGTTTTCCATGTTTAAAAGCCAAAAAACAATTTAACAAAAAAGAACTGAAAAATCAAATAGTTGGAAAAAATGATTAATTGCCAGGAAACGCGGAAAAGATTTAGGAAAAAATGAAAAACAAGAAAGCTAAAACAATGACCTTTTTTAATTTGTGTTGTGTTGTTGGTTGTTTTTGCTTCTTTTTTGTTTTTGCGCGTTTCCTAGCAAATACTTATTTTCTCCAGCTATTTGATTCTTTTTTTGTTTTGGATTTTTCTAGGTTTTTTTTGCTTTTGTAAAAGAGTAAACAGCAAAAAACCTTCAAAGAAAAAAATATTGTGTTGTTGCTCTTTTAACTGTTCTAATTTTTTGTTGTTTTTAGTTTTTCTTTTTTGTTTTTCCCGCGTTTCCTTGCAATTAAATATTTTCCAGCTATTTGATCTCTTTTTTTTTTGAAATGGCTTTCAAAAAAAGCTAAAAAGAAAAAAATAGAAATAAAAGGAATAAAAAGACTAAAAAGAAGATCTCAGAAGCCAGCTCCACGACTGCGCCCTCATCAACAATGCCCTTGTCGCTCAGCTGGCATCGATGGCGTCGCGCAAGCCACCGAGGATGTCGGCCACAATGGTGACGATGACCATCACAGAGCTATCCTCTCGTCCGGCTCTAACTGCCGGAATTCCCATGTATGGCTGCTGAAAAAATGATTTAGTTGTTTCCTGACTTTCTTATTTGTTATGAGTTTAACGTTTCCGTTTTTTTTTTTCTCGGCGCTTCCTGGCAATTAAGTATTTGTCCAGCTATTTGATGTGTTTGATTTTTATGTTTTTAGTTTTTTTGGTTTTTGTGCCTTCTGAAAAAATTATGAAAGCCCAGAAAACTAAAAAACTAAATAAAGCAACTAAATCAAATAGCTGGAAAATCATTAATTGACAGGAAACGCGGAAAAACTAAACAGAAAGTAAATAGATTTTGAAAAACTAACAAAAGCTTCTAATACTCCGGCTATTCTAGGGTTGTTATTGCTGGTACTAGGTAACCTTACACCCCTCCACCCATGATCCACTTTCATGGTAATCTTGTTACGAAAGACAGACATTCTTGCTAATAGTATTAAAATCATTGTTAAATACCAAATCTAACATAAATTCTAGTATGTGTATTCAGGCTAATACCAGGAGTAATATGAATAGAAACAAAATAAACAATAGTTATCTCAAACAATCATACTGATACTAACCGTATTAGTTCACATGCGAATACTTGTTTTCATACTAAAGTTAATATCAGTATGACATATAACATTTAATACTGACAACACTAATAACACATCTCAATAATGCACATATAGCGATAATATGTGCACTAATGTTAATGGAAGTAATATCTGTACTAGTTATAAGTTATATACAGATAGTGATACTAGTGCCAAAGGTAGTAGCAGCGTTCATACATTTACTGCTAACATCAAGGCCAAAAACTGTAGTAATCTGAGGAAGTGACAAGATGAAGCACATTTATCTCAATAATGATACTGATGCTAACCATAAGAGTTCCCATGTCAGTGACAGTACCAAGACTAAGCCTACCAACAGTACTAGATTTAAAGTTCATAACGACAACACTACTAACACAACTTCAGAGTACACATATACTGATATATGAGTACTGCTATCGTGAAAATAACATCTGTAGTAATTATATACAGATAGTAATATTAATGCCAATGGTAATAGCAGTGCTAATATCATTACCAACCATTTACTGACAACCTTTTGAATGCCTTTACGAACAATAGGGATTCTAATAGCAGCACTAAAGATAATGATAGTATTACTGTTCAAGCTAATATCTGTACGAATATGAAGAATAAAAATAAAAATAAAAATGAAAAAAAGCATCAGTCAGTATTATCCACATTAGTTCCAATGTTACTAGCAATATTAACGCTAAGGTTGACAATAATATTAGATACAATTTTAGGGAAGTGACTGTTGTGTGGGCCTCCGAGTCTGGAAAATGCACGACTATTGTTTGGCCGTTTTCGATATTCACAGACTCAGTCTAACCAGATTGCTCAGCAATGTTTGGCATATATCGCTAGTCACTGGACGGATAGCAATATTCGCATTATTGTTATGACCATGGCTTTTAAAACAATTGCTACTACTACTACTACTACTATTATCGCCACTATTCCCAGCATGAACCAACACCACCAGTATCACTTGTACTGTTAGTTCTGCTATTGCTGATGTTGCTACGTTTTGTTGCCACTCTCACTACTACTCTTATCACCGTTACTATTATCACTACCACTAGTACTAATTTTACTATCACCTTTACTATTATCACTACCACCAGTGCTAATATTACGACTGTTGTTCATGCTACCATCAGTAGTTTAGCCACTGCTACTAGACCTAGGACTGTTGCAGGCCCATACTTCTGACATGTTGGTACGGTTGATACGAACGAGCCCTAAGGAAAACATAGCTCTCTTTGAATACTTGCTGTTACAAATGCTCATTTGTTTATTTATGAATGTAAATATGAATTCTCAAGTGTTGGGCTTCCTTGTTCCTTATCTAAGCCCTCATTTTTAATTCATGCTGTCCAAAAGATGTGATGTTCTGAAGAACTGTTCATTCCTGTTGAAGTTTGAGATAGAAAAAGGTACAAGCCCAAGACTTGGCAATTACTGTGTGACATGTTCTTAGTGCGGGGATTCATACATAGACGATGAGGCGAACCAGGGCCCAGGTTTTTGGAATCTTTGCTTAGCATTTGCAACACATGTAGCAAGGGGCTCAGATGGTGAATAACAAGACACTTGGATTTGAGAATCCCCTTTTATATTTGAAGCACATTTTTTAACTTGTTCATCTCAGGGCAACGTATTCGGAATTGTTGTAAACGCGAGACAAATAGCTCAGGACTCGAGACTTCTTTTCTGTGTGATGCAATCTCAATAATAATAAGGGGATCTTTGTATGACATAAAGAGCCCATACTCACAGAATTCTCCTGCAAATGCGCAACTATTTAGCAAGGGCTTTAAATTAAGAAAAGCAGTGTCAAAGATTTGAGGCTTCGTCCTTAAAATTGAGACGCAAGTAATATGTATCGGACACCTATTGTAAATTATATCTATATATCCGAAAAAAACTATTGAAGGTATTAAGGTAATTTCGATTTCTATACGAAAAAAATAGAACCTGTGGAGACTGGGGCGGAACAACATACCAAATATTAAATGCCCTCATATTAAATGCCACTGGCAGAACCAAACCTTTTTTCCAAATGGAATAGAATTCTCCCTTTTTCTCTTTTCCACAATAAAGATACAAGGGAGATACAATTAGCTTGAGAGAGGTGGAAAAGCTCCAGTTCCTTGCAGGTATTTCTTTTGGGAGAAGGAGCATACCAAATATTAGATACCCTCATAGTAAATACCCTCACTCATATTGTAGCGAATCAGGTAGAACAACTGGCAGAACCAAACCTGTATTCCTATGAAAAGAAGAGTTCTCTCTTTTCCACAATAAATATACAAGAGACATGCAATTGACTTGAGAGAGGTGGAAGCTTCAGTTCTTTGCCGGTATTTCGTTTGGCAGAAGGAGCATACCAAATGCTAAATACCAGTCTTTAAATACCACTGGCAGAACCAAACCTGTATTCCTCTAAACAGAAGAGATCTGTCTTTTCCACCATGAAGTTAAGAGAGGGAGAGAGGTACAATTGACTTGAGAGAAGTGGAAGCTCCAGTTCCTGGCAGGTATTTCTGTTGGGAGAAGGAGCATATTAAAAACCAATGGCAGTACCAATAGCAGTAGTCAGAGTGGTAGTATCAGTAATAAGAAAAAATGGGAACCGCAAGAACACTTGTAGTAGTTGTTGCTGCTCTTCTTATGCCAGGCGACTACCTCATAGAATATGTTCATAAGTACGTAGGTGCTTCTATTTGGTACCTCATTCCTGGATCAGTAATACAATAGAATAAGAAGTCGTCACATTATACCTAAAGGTCCATGCCACATACTCCTATGAAGGTGAAAGGCGTGAATCCTCCGGCTCTAAAATACCGAGGATAAGAAACTAAACCCTAATCTCCTAAACGGTCCTAAACCCTGCGTTTGAAGAAGAGTTGAAGGCCTTGTTTGCAATGCTACGTTGCTAAGAGCAGGAGGACGTTGAATGTTTTCGACATGCTTCCCACACGGATCTGCTGCGCCTTGTCTGCAATGATTCCATGTCCGCAGCTCAAGTAGTAATGGCCAAGTAGTACTTTTTCCACGACCCAGTATGGTCTAGCCGACACCGGCTAAAACTCTTTAAAGGTGCCCCGAGATCTGATGGGCACATGAGCGCTGAAGGCCTCTTCAGGAGTCAGCTTGATGTGCCGCGCTCTGTACATGGTCCTCTCGGCAGAAAACGCCGAGGCAGCCTCGGCATGGCAAATGTTTCGATTGACGAATGATTACTGTATGCACACGCCCAGAATATCTGCAGCCCCGGGCCGGGGCTTGCGACTTGGAGGACAGGACGGCCAGCAAGGTCACGGTGTCCACGAAACAGAGGAAGATCTCGCAAGCGAGAATTGTTTTTTTCCGGTAGCTCCTTAAGGCACTTAAACGGGCCGAGAAGCGTTGGCGAAGAGCAAAGCTCCCAGCCAAGCCTTCCAAGAGTCACTTCAGTCACTTCAGGAAGATGCTCCGGATCGCAAAAAGCACATACACCGTCCTCTCTCAAGCCCACGTTCAAGGGCGTGCTGAGCAAGTACCTCACAGCACCGACGGCACCGAACACCTGCAAACATCTGCATCATCTCAGTCTGAGATTGGTGCCACATGTCCAAGGTGATAGCCACGCCCCAACGAACTTCTGCGGCCTGCCTCAAAGCAAAGCGGCTCACGCTACAATACCGCGGTGACGCTGCACGGCACTGAGCCCATGGCAGAACGCTCCCACAGACCTGGGCCCTGCAGCACTGCACAGCTGAAAGCTTCAGCTGCCAAGATGCCAAGATGCCGAGATGCCATGATACCAAAGCGAATTGCTTGGGCTTTCGGAGCCTCCAACGAAGATGCTGAGGAACGCAGCATGTCCACAGGCTGGACCTACGGTTGGGCTTTCCCTTCTTTCCCGCCCTCATTCTCTTGAGTCTCGCGGTAAGGTTGCCGAGGTTGCCGCAGCAAGCACCTCGCCAGCGTACTAAGTAGCGGCACCAACCTGACAACAATCTCTTGAAGACTGCTTGTTCAGGACCTCGCATCTGTGCCTTACTGTGGACACGGAGAGCCGCAGCACTAGAGGCCAGGGGCCCTGGGCCGAGCTCAATTATTAGGACCTGGATTTGCAATGAATTACGCGACCTCCTGCCAGGCATCATTCCTGATTTTGGACGAATGGTGATGGCACTTGGGGGCCCGGGAGTCAGGCAGCCGACCCCGACATCAGCCGCCATTCCACCAGCACTGTGGGGATCACAACTGCGACCTCCACAGCTGCCAACGAGGGAGAATAACAGCAAGACAATCCCAGCATCTTAGATTTCCATTTCACATTTTGTTCTGTTCTCACTTCAGCCTCCAGAAAGCAGCAGAGAGCTGTGACGCTACGGACGAGCAGACGAGCCAACCTGAGATCGAGATGGCGCTTCCGCGTGTTTTGTCAAAGGCTGTCAAAGAAACGAAGCCCCAGGGACCAACTGGTCCTTGGGGAGAGCCAGCTCGTTGTGCCGCCAAGTGAAAGGTCCGAGTCTGAGGATGTCGTGCTGGAGGGATTGGAGGGTGCCTGCTTTTAAATTCCCAAGCTTCCTGATCTTCCTTTTCCACGATGCCAAGGCAGAGACCGCTTCACTCTGGAGACTGTTGGCCATCCTGCAAAGGATTAGATTCTTCAACTGGTACCGTACGGCGCGGGACTGGCCTTTGCTGGGTAACCCGGGCTGTGCCATCGTACCGAGAAAGTTAACGACTGGGATTTGTTGGCTTCAAGGGCTAGGGTTCGGGCTCGGAAGAGCTTGGGCTGGAGTTGTCGAGATCTGTCGATTCTTGCTTTATTGATCTTCACCCAAAAGCAGTTTCTCTTGAGCCATGTAGATGGGAAACGTCATGATAAAGACTGCAGAACCTGCGAAAATGAGCGGCTAAGGAGGCGGCGGTTGGATTCTAACAGCCTGAACAAGGCGCGCCCTATCAATCGTCTCTGTCTACACGGGCTTCAACACTCTAAGCGCACAGCGGAAAAGCTGAAATGCCGGGTGCTGGGCCTGAGAAATTGAAGCGAATACAACATGTGTTGTTCGCTTCAGCTGTCATGTTTTGCGGGAAGGACTTGCATTAAATCGCCGAGACCGGAGGCCTGGAAGGTTTAGATCCATGTCCAGAGACTAGGAGCTCTTCCCTACCCCGTCCCAGTGCGCACAATTTCCCGGTTTTTGGAGGTCTAGGGGGGGGCAAACAGCTGGGGCTGGGTTCCGCGCAGGTGGGAGGGGCCGGGGGGGGGGGGGGGGGNNATTGGCCCGAGCGTGAACTACCTCAATGTCTGGCAGACAGACTAGTCATCAGTTTTCTCAAGGCTTTACACATTTGAATGATAAATGTTTTCAAAATGCGATGTACGGCTGCAAACAATTTGTAAGCGTTCATGTGATGCACTTTCGGAAGGAAGGTCCCCTTTCCTTTCTTCTTGAAGGATGTGCGCGAAACCGCCTTGAAGGCATTTGAGCTCACAAACCTCCTGCAAACGTCTGCAACACGTGAATTCTGAATCATGCGCCCTTTTGCACTTTCCCAGTGCAACAAAAGCAAGTGAATCCCATCGAATCAAAACCTTGCCTACGCTTGAGTGGTGTGGGCTCGAGATTCGTCAACTTATATGTGATTAATCTGTACCCCGCGATTGACGGAAAACACCTTTACCAGGTGATCCAGCCTTCAGAAACACTATCATAACCTATGCACATGTGTGATTCGAACGCTTGAACTTGTTATTCATGCTTGCATCGTGACATTTGAGGATCAGTATTTCCGATCGCGCGATGGAATACCATCAGATCAACATTAACCTATCACACTTCGACAAATTTCTTCCAAATTCCTGAGGAATTCAGGCGTTGATTTTGAGATGCTACATGGATGATCTGATCTTGCTTTGGAGGTCTTCAACTCGGACTTGGTCTCGCTAGCTCACAATTGGCATCATTCCCTGAGATTCGATCTGTCCTGCGAGGGAGATGTACATTTCTGGACTGTTCATTCCGCACTGAAGATGACCGATCTGTATTTTAGAGTTCATATGACAGCCCCATTAACGAGAGCATTTATACGTCCCGGCTTCCGGGTGTTGTCATCCTGGCACCCTATTCAAGTATGAGTGTGTGAGTGAGTGAGTGAGTGTCGACCAGCGCTTACGGTGCGGCCTGCCTCCCACGTCCCTTTCAACTTCACAGGGGGGCTCCGCGGGCGTCATCGCCCCCCCTCCATCACAGAGTTCAAGTGCGGGAACTAGCTAATGCAGAAAAGGGTCGTCAACAAATACCATCAAGTTGGGAATCACACAAAATCGAGCAAACATGAACGACATTGAGCAACAGCTCATCAAATGGCAGCCTCAGGACAGCATCGAAAGCACGAACACATGTAAAGAGGCAATGCGAGCATTTGGCATGGAGAACCCACCAGCTTCAAGCATCCACCATATACAAGACCCCAGCTTGTCGAATGGGTGGGCCACTGCCGAGGAAGCAAAACTCCAAGCACAGAGGGCCTGACCCAAACAAAAAACCCGTGAGCCAAGCGCAGAGGATGCGCGCGTGCACCAGCGCCGAGGGCTAGCACGGTGCGGCTACCAGCAGCCGTTAGCGGCCAACACGCCAGATTCCCGAACGCATCTATGGTTTCACATCAATGTAGCAAGCAAGCATACAGAACATAAGAGATCAACAGGTCGATTGCAGAAGGGGCTCAGCCCACAACCTATGTAAAAGAATATCGCCATGTCAAACACTGTAGCAGGCTAGCCAACACACACGATCAACAGGCCAACTGAAGAGGGTGCACAAAAACTCCGCGCATCCCAATAACTCCATCGATCAATGTGGCAAGCACACCCCACCAGGACCTCATATCGTCACAAGAAGCAATGTAGCAAGCATGGCCAACATGCAAGATCTGCCGATCGCGGAGGGGGCTCAAAAGCTCAACACACAAGCGGCCCGATAATGCACACACGACCATGGCGTATGAAGCGCGACCAGTACTTCCAGATCACCGTGCCGTTGCAGGAGGAGCACCAAGGGCACAGTAGCACCCTACCCAAAATGCCAGATCTGTGGATGCGGACGCGGAGCATTCCACAAATAGGCACTGTCGCCCTAGCACAAGAGAGGGGGGAGAAAGGGGGTGCTCTTCGGGCACATAGCCCTTAGTGCCGCCGCCCAGGGTCCACACCTTTCCCCTTGAAGAGCCCCCACCCAGAAGAGTGTGCCTGGCCCGGGGACCCTATTCAAATATTTACAGTTTGGTGGCTTTTGGCGCGTGCGTCGAGACAAAATTGCTGCAGAATGCTGCAGATATTACGCAAAGCGCTGTCAGATTCAAGCTCAGACTGAAGGATCGCGGCTACAGTATCAGTTTTGCTTGAACAATGGATTGCAAGATATGCTCGCAGAAAACTACTGCAAAGCAGCAGCGTCATGTCAAGCAGAGGCAGTGCTTCATGTGAAAATGCGGCTGGCTTGGTCAGTTGGCAAATCTCTCTTCCTGGATGCACAGGGATGGTTGAGGATGGCTTTTCCCTTTTTATTCGCTTCAGCTGTCATGCTTTGCAGGAAGGACTTGCATTAAATGCTCTCATTCTTGCAACGGTCTTCGCAGCCTTTCCCTGTAGAGCTCCATGAAAGAGATCTTTGAATGAGTGCGACTGCTTCCAAGTCAGTGCTGCGTGTTGCTTGCTGTGGTTGGAGCTTCTTCGGAACAGTTGCGCATGCGGAGTCTACCTGCGGAAACCACCGTTTAAGCTGCAGGCACCCAGAACCAAAATCTTTGTGAGCGCCTGCACGGGAGAAGTCTGAAAGCGAAACGCGGTCCCTGCAGCCGGATGCCGCCAAGGGGCCGGGTGGGTGGCTTGTTTCAGCTCGTAGCTGCTGGCCCCCGTTGTTGCCTGCAGGGCTTTGTCAGGGCTGGGCAGGGATTCCAGTCTTTGGCATGCCTGAATGAGCTCATAGAGAGATACCTAAGACCGGCTGCAAGGCATTGCACCTCTCTGCAGTCTCTGACTAGATCCTCCAAGGCGCTCCAGCATTTGGGGACCTTTGGAACCAAAGCGTGCAAGCTTTAACCAAAGATGCGGATAGAAGGTGGGATGATATGCGTTCGAGCAGCGGGAGAGGTACCTGAAACCACTGGTAAGCCTGCTGGGAAGCATGTTCCCACTCGGCCACAGAGACCTGTTCTGGCAAACGCAGAATGTCTCCCGAAACTCTGAAAATGGCCTGGCCTTGTCTGGACGAAGCCACTGCAACGAGATCAGCTGGCTCAACGCGAGGCCAAGACAAAACCTCAGCTGCGTACAGGAAATCAAAAACCATCAAAACACCAAGTCGCAATCTCATCGAGCATCGCTGTAAAATTCCAGGGCTCTGACAGTCCCAGTGAGGCCTCTCGTGGTGTGTTCCGCTCGGAAGATGCCTGCAAGTAGAAGCAAGCCTGGGCTGAAGTAGAGGAGCTCTGATGTTGCAATCGCCAGCCTCCATGAGGAGGAACAAACGGGCGAAGAACATGGATCGAGGCTTCACCTGAGAGAGTAAGACTGAGATGCAACAGACAGTTCCCCTGCTGCACATGAGACCCCCACGCATGCCACAGCATCTTCATGACGGTTCTCAGTCAAGATGTCAAACCGTGTGCAGTACCTGCAAACTGCACATCATCAGCCTCCCATGCAAGTCTTTTCATGTTTGCAGTCTTGCAGGGGCGCATATGGAGCCACTGCTGCAGGAGGGGTACATCAATCTGCCACTGCAAGGCCTGGGGCCACTTGGCTTCAAGAGACAAAGCCCTTGCCACTCTTGCCAGTTGCTGGATTCTGCTACATGCTTCCGGCCTGGAGGATGTCAATCTCACTCTGGCCTCCGAGAATACATCTTAATCTTGCATCGCATTGCATTGTAAGATCTTGTCTGGCACCAAACTCATCTAAGGTTAGAAGTGTGGGCCGCTAACATGGAGGGTATATAATCGGTAAGAAATTCAGGGTTAAGGGCCCACACTAAAGGCCCATGACTTCAGCTCTAGAACTATTACCTCGGCAGCTGTCTTGGACCGTGGCTGAGCATCGCTTCGTTGAATTCAACCTCCACCATGTGGCCTTTCAAGAGTGGCAAAGGCTGGGCGGGGGAAGCAATGCTTTGAAGCTTGAAGATTTGCAGCAATCCCCAACGATAGATCCAT